ATTTCCTTTTGTCCAAGGGATCATAGTCGGTCTTTAAAAAGTGACTAAACTGATTAAGCTTAGTGCACTGATTAAACACTGTGAAGTCTCTCCATCTCAGCTTAAATTTTGGAGACAACTTCTGATGCAGGGTACAAATATACACTGCTACAACAAATTGCATTATGAGGTTGCATGGAGATAAGACATACACTTATGTTTCTGACTTAGTCTATGAGAATTTGTATTTTAATATCAAGCACTGTCATATTAACTGCCTTCAAGAAGATCAACAAAAAGGGATTCACATTGAAATTAGAAATGATTTCTCCTTGAAGAGGACAAAAGTAGAGGGGAGGTATTATATTTCAAACATTTTTAATTTGCATTTTGTGAACACTGCCTCTTCTGCCAGAAGGTAAGTAGTCACACACAGAATGATAATGAGAGATAAATCTTACAGCTCTCCCAACCTACCAGATTACAGACTACTGTTGAATCTGCTGCAAGCAGAGGTCCTCAGTCGTCTCCGTCAGTCATTGTCAGTCTACCTGATCAAGCACTTTAGATTCTAGTGGCAGCTTTTCTAGCAGGCCAACAGATTTGGTTTCTTTTCTTTTTGACAACAACCACCTTCAATTTATATAAGAATACACAGCAATTGCTGTAAACAAGAAAACAGGCAGTAAATTGTGCAGTTTTAAAGTAACACTTTAAGAGTGCATTTGGTCCCACTGAGAATTAGTGTTAAATTAGAACTCTACGTAGTGTATATCTTACTCCAGTTGTTGTTGTAATAACTCTAAAAGAGAAAATGTACTTTGACACCACATAATTTAACACTGTGGAATTGATGTTTTAATACGAAGACCTGACTGGACTGAAGTGTTGCCTCATCTTCGTCTTATTTGTTCTAGATTACCAAATCCCTTAATGACTAAAACAAAATGACATTTTACTGTCATGTGATATATTTACCTATATTTCAAAGATAAATGCAGAAATAGTGACTTAGCTTCTATATCTATCCTAGGTCAGCTGTAACTTCTCCCCGCCCTGGAGATGCTTCCTCAGCAGATTAGTGCTGTTTTTCATCTTATCTGCCTTTCTGCTTTGGTACAAGGTTTTCTCTGTATTCATAAATCATTATGGACCAAACCATGTATAAAATCTACTTAGAATACCGTCTCCCTTGGATGTTGCTTAGTAAATGTTAACCCCTCCTAAAATGGCTGCGATCGTAACAATGCTCAAACTTGGATGTCACAGCGATGCTATTTATAACTAACTGATCTGCATTGTAATAACCTTACAGTCTTCCCAACACTGTAAAGTTTTTGCAAAGTTCCTCTAGTTCCACCACTGAGACAAACATCTTTTTTTCCTGATTGAAATCAGTTCTCAGGCCTTATCAGATCACTTTATAATGACTACTATTCTCATATTCCTTATGAGATAAATTAAATAAATATACCTTCCCTCCTTTCTTCTTGGCCTTTTTTGCTATCAAACACTATTCCTGGTCCCTTGTGCCAGAGAGTTACAATTTATTCCAGAACCTCAGACACAGGGAAGTTGAAGCTTTTCTCCTTTGAACAGGAGCATGTAAAATAGATTAAATATACTCTCTTAAGTTTTGATCATTATAGATTAACTCTATCAGTATGACCTACTGTTGTCAAAGTAATAGTTTATTCTAATGTAATACCATCTGGATTACATTCTGTAAAGCAAAATAAAATGTAGGTAATAATGGTAAATACCGGTATTCATTATTTGCAAGACTGTAATCTTTCAAGTTGGACTTTATCAAAGATTACAGTGTTGATGTGATGCAATGAATGTTTTCAGACCCCTCATATTTTCAAAAAATACATTTTGAGGCATGGTGGGAACCTAAACAGATCAGTGCAGTAAATAAGTCACGGTTGATTTTTGTTAAAAATTATGATGTAGAAAATCTATTTTTATAGAAGCGAAAACAAAAGGCAAGATGTGAGAACTGCATCTGTGAAAACACACAAGAATTTAGAAAATGTAATCTTTGTTTTTCTTCATGAAACCCTTATTATTTCTTGAAGAAACTGTTGTGTTTATTATCATTTTATAATAAACTGCATTAAATCGCAGTCAAGCAGAAAAAGAGACTATAAAATCAAAATTGTTTCACATTCTTGTTTATCTTTTTACATTACAGCAGCACATTTATATCACAACACAACAAGCTCTGCAAACCAAAGTGCTGAATAGATTGGCATGATGGCATCAATGGATTAATAAATACGAAGTATAAAACATAAAGCTTGCCATAAACAAAGAAGAATCTAATTGTTGGTTGTCATTAAGCTGTACAGTGCTTTCTCAAATCCGTTTCACGTATTTCAAAGTTTTTACCAAACTTTGACACACTTTATAGGACTAGAGCGATACAGAATGATACACAGCTTCTTGCAAATAAAATACTTAATAGCACAGCACACATTTTTAATCAGCATCTTCAATAAACTGGTTATTAAACTACCCTTTGGTGCAGTCTCTACCTGCTTTGCATGTCTCAATACAGAAATGTTTGAACACTCTTCTTACAAAAATAGCTTCATCATATGAGTTGAAGAGTATATGTAAATAATAAAGTTATGCAGTTCTTCTGTTGGTGAATGATTGTACTAAATCATACATTTGTCTGGCTATTGTTATTGTGACAGGCTATGTGAATCCGTTCTGTTTCTGGTCAATCAATTTGTTCAAATTAATTAGGTAAAAATTTGCAAATACTGTGAGGTTCATCTCACAATTTTTGTCTGTTTTTCCCAAAATCTTTTTTGTTTTACTTTTTTACTTGGTCTTAGTTTCTGCCTGACTCCTGCCTTTCCTATCAAACTGCAGAATAAGTCCGTAAGAGTCAGAGGTGTAGCCGTGGAAAATCGTGAATGGTCTGTGTTGGATATTGCAACAGATTATGGACATCATATAGCCCTACTTTTATCAGATCATTTGCCAAATGTGATCTATTGTGTTTTGGAGTAACACATGAGTATGTTTGTAGCTTAAGCTGAGTGTTTAGTATTGTTTTCCTGATGGATGATGCTCTTAAACTGCACTTTCAAATCTTTTTCAGACACTAAAATGATTCCTTTCAGGACCGTACTTAATGCCATCTATTCTTCCATTAGCTCTGATCATCTTTCTTGACTCTGTACAAAAAACCGTCACCCTCTATAGTCCTCCCACCAGCACTTGCGGATGTTGAGTTATCGTTTATGTGAATTGTTTATTCTATTACAAATATGTTTAATTTTAGTTGCTTTTTTCAATCTCTTTTTACTTTTCTACAATCACAAATGGATGTTGGTCTTTCACTAAATAAGAATAAAATACATTGAAGTAAGTGCCTACAGTGTAATCAATATTTGCAAGTAAACTCCAAGTGCAATTATGTTTTTGAAAAAAGTACAGAGTAGAGGTAAGCACCATTAGTTGTTAAAACAATGCATCATGCTCTCTGACCATATAATTATCTTTATGGAATAAAAAACAATATATATTGTGTTTGGCTCCAGGGTTGACAGAAAGATAGGAGAAAACATTACATCTTTCTAATAAATTATTTAATCTTGCTATGGAATTTATCTATGTTTTAATAAATGTATGTAGAGAACCTTAAAGATATTGTCAATTGTAGGTTCAATGGAAAAAATAAACTCCTTCTGTCCTCAGCAATACCATCTGTGAAGGCAGCTCCACACTAAGCCTAGTCATACACAATATCCCCCCTGCAGTCTGGAAGCAATCCGACTCCAATGGGAGGAATTAGGATGTTGATTAAATGTATTAGGTGCTTTGAATCTGCTGCAGTGAAAATCTGTCTTTTTGACCTTTGTCTGACCATTTATATCTAAGCATGGGATTCTTTTAGGGTCAACCTTAAAGCAAAATCATTGTAGTATACTATGGTTTTAAATGAACGAGCTGATGATTTACAGTTTATGGCTTTACTGTAATGAGGTAAAGCTGTATTCTTTAGAATCTTGGCCTCATGTGAGATTTGCTTTAAATCTTTGATTTATAAAAAAAAAAAAAAAAATTGTGTTCTTAGAGAGATACTAGGAAAAGTACAAAACATGCACTGTGCTTTCTTGCTTCATCCAAAGGAGTATCTCAGCCAACACAACTACAAAGATTACAAAAAAGGCAGCGAAGCAAAGTACAAAGCAAGACAATCGCATATATTTGATAATTACACTTTTTTAATATCTACAATTAAATTTCCCCATAACAAATGTACAAATACTGTACAATTTCTAGGACTGTTCTCAAGTGCCTTTTAAAAATCCAGAAAAACGTAAAAACCTCCATGTTTATCCATGATTCAGTTTTCTTTCCAGGGACAGTTTGGCTTTGGGTATCCACCATAACAGCACGCTACCTTTTGAGGATTTGCTCCAGTATTATCTGCATTGATATGGTCTTAACTTTAATTCTAGAATAGTAAAATAGGGATTCATTGATAATTAATCACGTGCTTTTGAATACTGGCTGTTAGTTACTTGTTACATAGGTTGTGGGTGGATCTATTATTTGAATATTTTTTTCAGCTTGGATTTTACACATTTAGTTCTAGTACTTATTTTTTCCTGATTTTAAGTAATTAAGTCAAGGACCACTTATAATGTCCTTTGTATAATAAAGGGTAAGTCTGAATAAAAAGTTCTAATGTTTGTATGCCAAATCTCAAAGTCCTAGTTGGTTATTTAGGCCATCTCTTGGCTATAGTAGCTGGCTTACTTAGCATATTTAATTGTACTTTGAAAAAGCATTACTTTAGAGTCATCTCCTTCATCTTTGAAATGACTGTCCAAAGAGCCAACAATCTTTTCTTGCAAAGCAATGAATAGCAGTGAGCAAGACTGTGCTGAAACTGGTATGGATGGCCATACAAAGAGAACTCCAATCATACTAGAATTTTCTCTTGCATCCAATTAAAGTGACTTTAATCCATAGGATCGGTTGAATGTAAATTTTAATGCTTTAAATATTGTGCAATATGTTGAGACAGATGTTTGGTGTGCATGGGGGCAGAACTCATTTACGTATTAAAAAACTTGAAAAGCACTCTGAGAGCACAGACCTCTGCAAAACAGCAAGTTTGGCTCCATATTGTGACTTACACCTATAGCTAAAACTCGCACATGATCTGGATCATTATCAAATGTTCTGCTCTCACCTCCTTCATTCAGTTTGTACTCTGCTTTCTTTTTTTTATCAGTAGATCAAGACTTCGAGCGAGGCATGGCTCACGTTTTTGTCTTCAGTATAATTCTTTTTTGAGTCCAATGCGGTAAATAGTCACTGCCACCACTCTGTGCTTAAGGGGGGAACTAGAATTTCTAAAAGCAGAATGGGAGGCAGATATTTTAGTTATCAGGCACCTCGCCTGTGGAACCAGCTACCAGTTTTAGTCAGTAAGCCAGACACTCTATCTACTTTTAAGATAAGGCTTAAAACATTCATTTTTTATAAAACTTATAGTAAGAGAGGCTCAGGGTTTCCTAAGCTATCTCTATAGTTATGCTGCTATAGGTTTAGACTGCTGGAGGACATAGGGACAACTTTTCCTCATTCCTTCTCTACTTTTCAGTATTTGTTCAACTTCCATCTTTAAGCTCTTTCTGCTTTTTTAGATCATTGTAGCTTCATCTGGTCTGCTCCTATTGACACCATCCCCAAGAGAAAAATCAGCTGTGTTGCTGCCATGAACACCTTTTTTTTATAGATGTTGGAGCTTTGCCTGCTTTAATTTTAGTCCTGTTTCTCTGACTATGATTGTTTTTATAACTACATTTAACCCTCTCATATGGTAGCTACCTCAGAGCTCATCTCCCTGGCTGTGTCTTGGACAAGCCCGCCTTTGGAGCTAGTTAACAGTTGCCTTTTGTATCTCTGCTTCTGTCTCCTTGAACCCCAGCCGGCCTCGACAGACTGCCACTCACACTGAGCCTGGTTCTGCTGGAGGTTCCTTTCTGTTAAAAGGGAGTTTTCCTCTCCAATGTTACTACAGGCATGCTTGGTGTAAAGGATTGCTGATGAGTCAACGAGTCAATGCAATAATCTGATTTTCTTTAATAAAAAACTTTGAACCAATCCGACTGTATGAGCTGGATAAATTGTCGTTATAAAATACATTGAGTTAAACACTGTATGTTCTGAATTGGCGCTATATAAATAAACTAAATTGAATTTGAACTGCTTATTCTGCCAAATAATGTAAAAGAATTATTTAAAAACTTCCTGCATCAAGATAGGAATGTGGATCATCGCCAGTTTTTAATAAACTGCTCCATGGACTGGGATGCAGCTTGGATAAAAAGTTCATTTAAGTCCGTTCATAACTTTTAAGCCTATCCTGTACACAGGGAGATAATCACACAAACTTGGCTAAGATCATATCCTCCTTGGTGGACGTAATTACAAATTACACATGGTATGTCGATGTATAATGACTATCACCAAGGCCGCTTTTACCCGTCCAGACGAAGCCAGTTTGGGTGTATCAGACAAATTTCTCGGTTAGATGGGGGCCTTGTCCGAGTGAAACTGCAAAAAAATGGCAATAACAAAAATTTGCTCCAAGAGTGGAAAGTTTAAATCCATGCTCTAGGGTGGCTTCATGATGAAATGCCTTGACACATACCCAACTAAAAACTGCTGTTGTTTTGTATGTATGAGCCAATGCCAGACGCGCCTCTTTCTCAATCAGATGTGCAAACACAAACAATGTAGTGAATTTTATTGCTGTGGTTGTCCTTTAGAAGCTATTTAATTTGAAAAGGATTTTAAAAACACATATTTCGCTGACCTGCAGCATTTCCATTTGTGCAAAAGAACCACAGGTGAGATGTGTGTGGATATGGGTCCAAAGAAATGCCTTTTTTAATATGGTAGGTTGTTTTTTCAAAAACTTGCAAATAGAATAGTTAAAATACGAAAAAATACTCTCAAGCTTTGAGCAGCACTGTTAATCAAAATGCATTGATGTCACACTGAGTTTCACACAAGCTTATACCTAACACAATCCATGTCATCCAATACAGAGTCATTTGTAGCTAAGGGAGGGCTGGTTTTATAATCAGCTAACATTTTGTTATGATTTTTATGATTTAATTTTTTTACACCTAAACAAAGACCATGAGTTAAATGAACCTCGTGCCCTGTTGCTTTTGTTTGCAGTTCAAACAAGCTGAATTGCTGAATGAAAACGAAGATAAGGGTTTTGGTCAATCTTTGTAGTAAAGGGTGTCCAAGTTTAAAAAACTTAAACATCCGTTTAAACCAAATGTCAATATAATGAAACCAATTATTATTGTTTGTTGTTCAGAAACTAGATTTGGACATTTCCATGCAACTAAAAAGAGAGGAAAAAGACAGCTTTTTGAAACAACAGAAATGTAGATTTACTTCATATCTTTCAGAAACAAAAGTCATTGTCTTGGTAGCTAACCATAATATTCACCCCCCACTATGGCGACTCAGAAGTGCAATATAAATGCAATTTACAGCTTCAAGGAAACAACAAACCCAGCAGAATTTTTAGCGACAGATTATGTTTTTCTGCCATTTTAAGTTTCTGAATGCTGTAACTGTATTTTTTTTTTTTTGCTTTTTTTTTTTTAAAAAGAAACAAAGATTCTCTGATATCTTAAACATGCAGGAGAGAATTTTAGAACATTGCCTCTGTTTTACCAATATACATAAATACGTTTAACTTGACAATACTACAACCAGTAATTAAAACATGCTGGGATAAAGCAGTTCTACTGTATAAATTGTATGAAAAAAAAGTGTTTGCTCTTCAGACACATCAAAGCATTTGAAACTCGATCCTTATATTTCTGTGAAGCAAAAATTGTGCTACTTACATTGATACTAATGAAGTCAGGGGGTTAATTGACCTTATCTTTGAATGTTATAACAACAGAAATGCATTATGATGTGATACTCGATTATCTGCCTTTCTTACTAACTCTTCTCTTGAGTTTTAGACACTGCAGACTTTTCTTGAGACCAATATCATGATCACTGGTAATACTCATCCGGATCAGAGCACACACCAACTCATGTCTGATGACTTAGTCAAAGTGACTTATAGTGAGTTTCAGTGTACTGGCTCGATAAAACGTTCATGTCACCAGGCAAAACTGGTCAAACGTTGGTGCAGTTAGTCGACGGCGGAGTATCTGCCTTGCTGCGGATCTCCTTGATGTCGTTGAGGGGACAGTCGCCGTTGCCAATCTGGCATTTAAAGACTTGCTTGTAAGCCTTCCTGAAGTTCTCTGACAAGAAGGCGTAGATGACAGGGTTCACGGAGGAGTTGCTGTACGCCAGGCAGTGTGCGGCCACCCGAAACACGAAGGAGGCCTGGGTCAGCGGAAAGGTCCCGAACTCCACCCAGAGATGAACGACGTGATGAGGGAGCCAGGACAAGCAGAACACCACCACCACCACCAGCACGGTCTGAGCAGTCTGGGAAAATAGATGAGAAGAAATTATTTGTATGAGAAATAACAACATTTCCTGTTATTAATTCAGCTTTGAGCCTTTTTTTTTATTTGCTGTACAAACTGTACCAACTGTTATCAGGTGCTATTTTGTAATCTCAAGCTAATATTTCATTTTCAGTAGGATACAATAAACGTTTTATAAAAGTGAAAATATGCTGCAGCGTAATGAGATGAAACCCCTGGAATTCAGATTTTCGGCTCCATTCAACATTCTAAATTGTTCTGACCAGTAATTTTAAAGGCCTACATTCAAATATATGTGATTGTTTCAAAACAAAAATGTTTGACTTTAAAGTTTTTGCACCAGTTTTTAAACCAGTATCAACCAGACCTGAGGACTGCTGGACATGGGAACTAAAAAAGAAAAAGAAAATCACTAAAACAGACAACTAAAAGATCTCAAACCATACTGTATTGATCTTTTCTGATAAAATTGAATGACAGATGACATAAAAATTAATTGACATTTACCAGTATGTAATGGGGTAAAATTAGCCATCTCCAGCTCTTTGGGACCTCTCAGGGACCAGTTAACAACTCAAATACGGCATAATTGTGCCTCAACTCTACTGTATCTCCGCTCACCCAACAGTCAGCTGTATACTCGCTCAATCTCTGCCTTCCACCAAAAATACCTTAAACATCCTCACAACTGTAAACTGAGGAGACAAGGGTCAAGCTTCTTTCAAGGTGTGTATCCTGTTACATCTGATGTAAAATCTTTCAGCTTTGCTTTAATTACACATAAAACCAAAACAATTCTGCAATGAAGAGTGAGCCGGAATTCCAATCCAGTGATGTAAAGGCTCAGTTATCACGAACATTTGATGGGTTTTGTTTCTGCCAAGTGTGGGAGAGTGGGTTTAAAGATTTAGTAGGAAAACATAGGGTTAGTTTAGATAGCCTATTTCCATTAATAGATGAAGTCTTTATTTGAATATGATATAATGTTTATCTAAGTGTGAGGGGAAAAAAAGTGAAAATAGAAGAAATAAGAGACACAGAACCAAGAAGCCTCTGTCTGAACCAGTTAAAAAGGCTGGATCTCATTTAAGATTCCTTGTTCTATCTTTTTTTTGTGACTTTTTTGCTAACTTAATCTTTAGCCTGTAAACAGTTCAGTTTTAAATCCAGAGAGGAACCGCGACACATTTAAAGCGAGTCCCAGTAGAGGAACCACTGAGGAGCCGGTCTAAAAGTGGCTTCCCTCCCTGGCCCCAAACCAGCTGTTTGTGGAAATGTTGCCTATAAGGCGGTCAGAGAAAGGGGTGTGGGAACAGCACCCACAGCAGTTCGAGTTTGGACCAAACTAAGAAATCCTCCTATTAATTTTATTATAACATTTGACCTGAGCTGACAGGTCAAAGGTGGCTAGCCTTATATTAGCCACATTTTCCCTCTTGCTCAAGTCGACTGTACATAAAACTCTTTTTTATACTTTAGATTTAGACTTGTGTACCAGACTTGTGTACCCTCTCAGTCAAAAGTAATGATGGTTGTCCAAAGGTGGATGCACAATAACTGGTTATGAAATAAAAAAATGTTTACTTAATCTTTTGAGTATTTGATTCTTAGGCAATTTATTCTTTCCATGTCAAATGAAAAACAACATAAATACGTTGCCTGGAAATTAGTAAAGAATCAAAATAACATCCTATTATAAAACTGTATTTATAAAACTGCAGCTCCTATAAGTAAATATGTTATAATCACACTTAAACTTCATGAATTGGGAACAAAATGTTTTCATCAAGACACCTGAGCTGCTTTGAGGAGCTCCAATAGCTCAGTTTGAAAAACAGCTGACCCCAGGCTGTTCTCTACATCCAGTCTGTTCCTCTGCCTGGTTTGGATGTGTGTCAAAGCTGAAGCTGAACTCAAAGAAAAAGTACTTTTTGGTTAATAGACGCTTGTTTCATTTCTTAAATTGGGTCCCGACAAAGCAGAACAGATCCAAGCCCTATCTTATCTTACTACCTAAGAATTAAAATGCTTATATATCCCTTGCAATGCACTCGCAGACCACTAGGGGTAGGAGTACCCCAGCTTGGGAATCACTGTTTTAGACAATTATATCCTATTATAAGTACACTAAAGTTTTATTTGCATGTCTTATTATGTTTCATGTTAATATTAAAACACAGGAGACAATTACTGTGATTGCTAATACAATTTTTAGTTCAAGTTTACAGCAACATTAAATTAAACTTTTAAGCTGTTATCGGGATTCTTAAAATAAATATATGCATAAGCTATACTATATTATATAACTATAAGCTATAACTATATTAGGGCTGCAACTAACGATTATTTTACAAATCAAATAATCTGTTGATTATTATTTTCGATTAATTGATTAATAATCCAATAGCAAAAAGTTCCTTAAAGAAGAATTTTTGCAAAATTAGACCAGGTGAAACTAACAGTTTTCCACTTGAGGAGTTCTGGATAGAGCATATTGAAAGACGAAAAATATTTTTAATCATTAATGCAAAATGTTTAAATATTTATTTTACAATTTTGGTATAATTACTGCTCTGAGTGGGTTTCTCTGCTGGCTAAAGGCGTGTTTTAGAGTCTCTATACTCAAGTTAACAATTAATCGATTATTAAATTAGTTGATGATTGCTTCAATAATTAATTAATCTGATTAATATTTTCAGCCCTAAACAATATATATTTAAATTACAAAATGAATATCAAGGCTTTCTCTGTATTTGTCATTGAAAAACATCTTTTAGATTTATTACAGAAATGTAATAATTATGTGATTTTTAAAAATATATAAATATATTCAATTCAGGCATTATTGGAATGAGAAGGGAAGGTGGTAGGAAAAAATGAGAAAATCCTCAGATAAATGAAACTAAACCTATATGCAAACATTTATTTTCTTGTTTTGTAGGTATTTTCTGATGTGGTACAGAGACAGCGATTGAGCTTCCACTCAAAGCTTCGCTGAAATATAAAAGCAGGTATCTAAATCCTGTTTTTCTGTATCTTGTTAGCTCTGTTTGGGTCTGCAGCCTTTGTGAAAATCAACTTTCTTGCTCAACATGCCAGCAGTTAGTGGCTGCAGTGCTCCTGCTTTGTAATGAGGTTGTAACACAGCTGCTGGCTAGAAATCAAACCATAACAGCAAGCCACGCAATAAAAGATGGATTTTAGAGCTGAAGGGGAGCAGACCTCTCGGCGGGTTTCTTCTGACTGCCCCCTTTTAAAACATCCTATAACTCTCAAATGACCAGCACTACAGCTTACACCGTCATGTTTTATTCATAACTCATACCACAGATCCAGATCTGTAATTTTCTGAACTGTGGAGGGGAAAAGAGTCTGCTAACAAAAATTCTTATGTTCACATCTTTCCCTGCATGGAACAAAGAGGGTAAAGTTTACATGTTCTGTATGTACTAACAAAATAACACTGAAAAACATCCTCAGATAAATGAATATATCAATATTTTCACATATGCTTCTAAACATGTAGGTTCGCCTTAGATGGTTTGTATACAGAGGCACTTCTTGCCTCTCACCCCCATCTTTGACACCTGCTTGTTTTTTTCCCATGACCTCATACCTTTTGGCTCTTATCAGTACCATGGGCCTGAAGTTGGGTAAAGTACAGCAAATCTGAAAGACCTCCAGTGCCAAAGAACACATCCCTGAGGGACCTCAGCAGCAATGACTTCACATCTCAAAAAAATCCTTGAGAAGTTAGTCCTCTACCATAAGGTTGGCTGCAGTTTGCCTACCAGCCAGCCATTGAGGTAGATTAGTTAAAGACTAAAATAACCAATAACTGCAGCCCTGGATTGAATAGAGCAGTCAAAGACAAGTTTAAACTATTTTTTAGCTGATTCAAATGAACTTGTTGTTCAGGATCTGTTAAGATCATTGTATCCAACAGTCAAAATCAGTGTGTCACACCCATGCCAATATGTGCACAGTGTTTATCTGTTCAGTAAAAGGCTGGTTATACTCCCGCAGCAGTGTGTCGCAGTGAGATTGTCGCAGATATTTCTGATTTATGCCCAATTTTGAAGTATGTTCTGCACTATGTTATTCCAGGTCTCAAAGCAAGAGGGACAATCAGGAACTAGCTGTGGGTCTAGATACGGCCAAGGTGGTAAGAAAGTGGGGGCAAGTTTGTGTGACACAGAGGGACATGAGGGCGAAAAAAAGCGGGGATCCAGGTGGAAAAAGGGTCTCAGCATTCTTGCGCACCTCCCTCTTCTAGCTGGTCCTTCTTAACGAGTCGTTTTCCACAATGGCAGTCATACAGACAAAACAAGCTGGTAAGGTACCAAACAGGAGATATGCACAGTGTAGAGCAGATGTGGATTTGACCAATCAGAGGCCTCCTGTGTCTGCAATCTACTACAATTTTGGAGAGGGGGGAATATCTGCGTTAAGTGCGACACACACGCACAGAAGCTCTGGTTTCTCAGTATATTCCAGCCTTAAGTGTCTACATCCTAGCTGGTATTTGCAAATTTTTTATTTGTTTTAGTGGTGTTTCCAGTGTGCTCTATTTTGGACACTTAATTTAGTTTGCCACACATTTTGTCTTTGTGATTTGGGTGTATTTTATTATTCTACAGTCTATTCTTATTTCTTATTTAGATGCGTACAGTCCTTTAACTTGTAAATATATTGTTTTTTTGTGATATGGGAACTTATATACTTTCATTTGTATTTTTCACTTCTAAGACAATAAAGGATATCATTACTCTATTCTGATCTTTTGAAATTGTGAGCAACACTGCCAAAACACGGGACCCAGATTATTGCTATCACAAGAAACATTTTATTTAGTTGCATTTTAATAAATAACAGACTATGCTGATTGCAGTTAATTAGATTCATCTTTTGAGATAATGTTGTTTTTTTCTTACTTTCTTGATGAACTTCTGCATTAAATCTACTATTGTCTGTCTCCGTTTATATTTTATTACATCT